AACATTACTTGGAAAACCCACTGAACATGAAATAGTGAGTAGTATTTTTAGTGCTTCTTATTATCATGCAAGCTGTTTTATGAGTGCTCATTTTATATAAGAATCACTCATTTTATATAAGAATCAAATGGACAGTTTCTTTTCACATATAAAACATATATTAGTATGGTTAAGATGTAATCAAACTGATTATCATTCTCAATGACTTCAGAATATCTTCGAACATTGCAAAGGAGCAGCCGTCTGTATAGATGCTGTATTTGTCTTACGGTACTTTTTTGCACTTCATCCTGTTCAGAGCCGAAATCATTCTTGGTATTGTACAATTGAATTTGTGTGTGCTTTGCAAAGGTCCTGTTTTCAGTCATTGACCCATTAGTTGACATTTGGCACTTAGAGATATGTCATTCTGCTACTGCAAAACTCTACAAGTTCTTCCAAAAAACCCCAAATGCCAGTTTTTACAAGTTTAGTTAAAATGAAGTTGGAGTTTTTAAAATAAATTCTGTTTAAGTAGAATAGAAACAGAGTTTTTAAAATAAATTCTGTTTAAGTAGAATAGAAACAGAGTTTTCCCTATACTGGACTGTTGTGTTCCTGAGCACTGAATGAAATACCGGATTTAATAGCAAAGATGCAATTATCTTTTTTTAAAAGCTAATGATATTGGGAAATTCTTGTTCTTTAGTCTTACTGACTTTTCCAAATGTGACATAACTGTTCTGTTTCCAACCTTAGTAGATCAACCTCTAAAATAATTAGGAATTTAAATATTGACAGAATGCCATTAATACCTTATTGACTGTAGTGTAAAGCTTCTGCATATATATGTATGCACCTGAAATCTGGTTTAATGCCTTGATATTCGCTGCAGTAGAACTGGCTTATTAATTCCTGAATCTGTGATGAAATTGCACAAGTGTTGTTGTTTCTCAAATAACAGTGAATATTAGAAATTTTACTTAACTCTCCCTTGTTTCAACTTTGACAATCTTGAAATCTGAATACTTGCCATAGTTTTGTTAGCTCTCACTGTATCGGTTTAACTGCAGCATTCAGTTTCAGGGCCTGTGAGAGAAATCTAGTTTTGGTGGTTACTCTGCTGAAACAGAAAACAAAAAAGTAAATTATATTTTATTTTACGGATTTTTATTTGGGACAGTGCTAACAGGTTAATTAACCAAAAGAAAGGAAAGCACTGCTTTTATTTGATGGGGGCATCAGTTAGGGTCACCATGTAAGTAATAAGCAAAAAGTCTGGCGTGTGTGTGTATGTGTTGGAAGGTAGGGATGTTTGGTGGTAAAGTGATTGATGAAGAAAGGAAAGTGAGCAGTGATTTCAAAGTAACAAGTGGAAAGTAGCAGTGAATTGAGATGAGCAGAAAAATGCTGTGTTGAGCATCTCATTGCCCTAGGGGCTCGGGTTTGTACCCATTCCATGTGTTTGGGATGTTATATTGCCTAATAATATACATAGATTCTGTGTAATTAAAAAGGCTGTATCAATAGATTTTAATTGGGTACTCTGAGGAAAAGCGTGTTTGGAGACATAAAGCATAACTGACATAGCTATCAGCTGAAGAAATTTTTGAATAACTATATATGTGCAAGAATATGCAATAAGTAAAGGGGATGTATTACTTTGTATAGGATTTTGAATGGTGTTTCTTTTTTCATCAGTTTTTAGGCTTTGCAAGTTTTTCCCTTTGTTTCAAATAAAAACCATGTTTTGAAATGAGTCCCTTGCTCTGTAGCACCTAATTGAGTGTGTGTAGGTGAAGTTGGCACAATACCTGTTTTGCGTTGTTCTGTCCTTCCTTCACTGAATAATTCTACAGAATTGTCATTCTTAGGGAACAAAGTGTCCTTAATTTAAAAAGATCTAAATAAAGACTTCCATATGGTTGACATAAAATTTGTATTTGTCTTTCCATCTTTATTAATATGCCATTTTGGTTCAACTGCGATATTGCATCTGCAACTGGATTCAGGTTTATTTAATGAAACTGCTGACTAGGGACCGATTTGGAACCTGTTGAAATTTTCACAAGAAGCTGGTTTCAACAGTCTTTGATTTAGCTTACTCTGTTATAGTCACTGTTCCAATTGTTGCCACCTAACATCTTATGCTTTGCAGTTTGAGAATGGCAGACAAACTGCTAGGTAAGAAAATAGTGGTGTTTCTGTCTTTTTTGCATGCTAGTACCCTATATTAAATGTTGTAGGTAGCTGTTTGTTTGCTTGGCATAAACTGTTCTGCTTGAAAGATCCCTTTGGGACAGTTCTTCGATGGTATCTGCAGAGTATGTGCACAGGAAAGACAGTAGTGTCTTGGGGCACAAATATACAAATGTTATGATCCTGGGTAGGTTTTTTTTCAAAAACAGTCACAAACAGCAGGGTTCAGCAATTAAGTGTCTTCCTATTGCTGGTATGTTTTAAAAAAAGAAAAGTCTATACAGTATGTGTGAGGAAAATCTAATTCCAGCAATCAGTGTAGGAATATCTACACAAAAAATCTCGAGTCTCATTTATGAATATCTGCCTCATACAGTCTTGTGGTGATGTCGTATTTCAAGTATCCAATTATGATAAATGGTATTTGATCCTATTATTACAATTATTATTTCAACCAAAAGAAACAAAACTCTGGTAGGGTGGGATCCTCAGGAGTTACCAACTCTGGCCAAACTGTGTTTGGCTCTAAGTTGCTGAGAGTTTCACTGTTGATTTTTGTGGGAGATGGGTTAGGTCACTGCACAGTACTTTTGAAATCCCACCTGTAACTATTTCTGAGTTGAGTGTGTGATTATTTCCTCACAGGGAGGAGTCCATCACCACAGCCTTCCAGAAACACAGGTGATACACATCAGTCAAAATACCAAATTCCAGTAACTTAAAGCATCTCCTTTCTGAGAAGATTTATTAATAAAGCTGACAGGATGATGCTGAGCATTAGCGAGCACAATAATGAAAAGTGTGCTGTGGGCTTCACTAGAAGTTGTAAGTGCTGAAGGTGTCCAGGATCAGGCTTTGGATGAGCCATTTGGGACCGTGTGGTCTCTCATAGGCTGGTTTCATGCTCGCTTGCAGTAGTTGGAACTAACCAGCCATGACAAAAAAAGGAACATTGCAGGTCTTAAATTTGTGCTGGGTGCTACTTCTGCTTTTAGAGTGAACACGATCTGAAAGCCCCTCTGCACTCAGCCTGTGAAAAGCACTCAGCATGTGCCATAGCTTCTGAAATCTGCGGAACAATTTGCGTCAGTGTGCGCTGGAGGAGTGAACCTTCTGGCATGTACTGCACTCCGGATCTAACCCATCTCCTGCCCTCAATTTTCAATTTTTCAATGGTATGGAGTTGCTAGAGGTGATGGGGAAAGAATAGCATGTAAATTTACTTTCGGGTCTCAGGCCCTCAATCTACTGGAGTGACTCACTTGAAGTGATACTAGTGTCCAAGATAAACCTCTCAGATGTGTCATACAAATGCTTATTATTGTAATTAATCTGTCAATATAATTAATTATCCTTGGCTCAGCAGCCTATCAATATAATTATTGCTGCTACACTATCTTTCTAAATGAGTGTGTCTATACAAGATGTTTTGGATCAGCTTTTGGCTGTGGAGCCCTCCTGGCTTCCCACAATGTTTCTCACTGTTTCTGATTGTTTTCCACAATCTCTCTGACATAGTGGTGAAGTCTGTGTACCTTGCAGAGGTGTGTCATGGTGCTGGAGTCAGGATGTCTTGTAAAAGGCTTTGCTCTTAATGCAATGGCATGTGAAGAAACAAAGTATGTGTAGGAGAAATATGGAGGGGTTTCTGAGCCAGCAAAGCAAAGGAGTTGTAGATGATGCTGCCTCAGGTAGCCACACACTTGAGCAGTGAACATTCCTGTTCTTTCCCCAGCTGGCAGATAAAATGCCTGGTAGGTGCAGATTGTGTTCCACTGTGTTAGCAAAGGATCTCTTGTACATATATATGCAACTTTCCATGTGTGGTGTTGAATATGTGGGATTATTACAGGAGTGTGCATTGTTACAAAAGGATGGATTTAGATGCATTTTATAATGACCCTTTTGCTTGAATTCTTATCTTTACAAGTGCATCTGAAGAATTCATGACTTGGCATCAGAGATAATTCAAAAGAGTTCCAGTAAATAATGTAGGTTTTATGTGTCTGAGCTGCAGATCGTATTCTTGGAAGTCCTACTTGAGAAGTCAGCTACATGTGCTTTCAGAAGTGTTCTATTTCTTAACAGTCATAGGAGCAAAGAAAACTTTGAAAATAAAATGACAGTTGAAACGAGTGTTGACAATGCAAAGCAGTAGTGTAGGATTATAGATATGTTATTTTAAATATACCTAGTAACATTTTAATGCATCAGAAATGGTTATCTATTTCCCTACTCAATCTTGTAACTTACTATGATAGCTGACTAAGAAAGAGAGGCTAACTTTGTGGAAGAAAGGTATGAGTTTTATGGTTGTCCTTCTTGAAGGCTTCTAGAAATAAAAAAACAAAATCCACATCACAAACATATTTCTTCTTTGAAATACATTTTGGTTGGTTTATCAACTGGGTCAAGAAAAATAATTGTGTGAGTTTAAAAGAAACTGCATATCACAATTGCAGGTTGTAATATCTGTTCAGAGAAAGGGAAGGGCAGGAGAAGATGCCACTTCATTTTCCTAGAAATGAAAGAGAGATTGTGTTTTCAGAAGTTTAGATCTTTTTAGTAAAGATGCTCCTTTTTTAAAAAGCTTACTATTGAGCCTTGGGAGAAGCATGACTAAGCTATATGCTGGAGTCTTAGCAATGTGAAAGCAAGTGTTTTAAAATCTGACTGTATAGAGATGATTTCTGCCTGAATGATGGTGTTACTTCCTCAAAATCATTAATATTCCACTAGTCCAGAGCAGGACTTGTGCTGTGCTGGATGAATATGTTTAACTTGAATCTTTTCTTCTCATACCTTTTTGCTTCTTTACACAGGGAATGAAGTATCTGTGCATTCCTGCTGCTGACTCACCCTCGCAGAACTTGTAAGTATTTTTTAAAAGTAAATCACAAAACCCCAGAAATCCTATGGTACCATGATGCCTATTTTAAAATTTGCTGAAAGCTCTGAATCAGGTCTCTAATGAGTATTACACAAATATGGGGTTTTATCTGTTAGGAAAACACAGTAACACTTAATTTCATCCTGCTTTTTGTGTGTGTTTGTAGAAGTCTCAGTATGTAAACACTCTTGATTTGTGGCCTTAAACTTCAGGAATTCCTTAGTGAGTCTGAGCCTAATTCAGTTACAGTTTATTCTAGCCACTGTTTTTGTCAGTCTTTGTGTTTGGCTACTCTTTTTTTTTTTTTTTTTTTTTTTAGTGCCAATTGCAGCAACTAACAAAATATTTGAAAGAGGTTTGAAGCCTGGTGCTCAAGGGTTGAAATAAATTCCTCACAGTGGGCCTTCAAAACAAAGTCCTTGTGTGCAAACTACCTCTGTGACAATCTGCTGGGGACTTCTTGAACCTGCCTCAGAAGTCCCTGCTGCTCTTGGTATAAGCTGGCATGGCAGGGAGTTTTCTGTCCTGCAGTGACTCTGACCTTGGGGACATAGGTACTGCAGCTAGGGTGTCCAATCCTTGTTCTTTCTCACCTCTGCTAAAGTTCACGTAATGCTAATTGATTACCCCTGGTTTTAATTGAGCATTTCAAGTCTTTATTCCATAGAGAAATCAAAACAAAAGGACCTGGATGGTGACCAGTTCTTTCTTCTAGGGCTCACTGTTTATGTTGGGGAGAGGTGAGGGGGGTTTCAGCTGCATCCTGCTGCCGAGTTTTGGTAGAGAAACAAGTAGTGGAAAGAGGCCTGGTAGGTATGGAAGGAACTGCAGCACTGCTTTTCTCTTGTATCACAGCAATATTCTGGCTTATGCTTCTGGGGGATATTTTTAGACCATGTGTTTCTTGTAGTCTAGAAAGATTCCAGTGTGGCACTTGATGTGTGATTTGCCTTTTCATTCTGCATTTCTGTCATGATTTCGGGTGAAGGGAAAAAAAAAAGCACCACACCCCACCTGCAATAATAAAACACCCTAATCCCCTAAATTTCAAGTTTGTAATGAGAAGGCAGAGAGCTAACTGCCTTTGTCATGGGTTACTTCCATGGCCTTAATATTTAGAATAAACATAAATAAATTTAAAGAAATATCCTTTTGGGAAGGAAAGCTAATATGAGATTAGAGGAAAACATTCACATGTCATTAATTGTTCATTGGCATTTTGAGGCGTGTAGCATTTTTGACAACGTTTTCTAAATCCGCTTCCTTTGTCAATAGAGATAAATTGAGAATAGAAAGAGAAAAGATGGCATTTATGATGAACATTAATCAATGTATAATTCCCCTGACTGTTAAATATCAAGGAGTTATACTGAAAAAACAGCTCCTGTGCTTGCACTGTCTGGCGCAGTACCAAGCCTCTTAAGGCTTCAGTAAGAAGATAGAATATTTGCATGAATATTGTTTCTGTTATGCTGCAGGCATCTAAAATACTTGCTTTGGTATCAGGTGGTTGCAAGCAAACGTCATTACTTCTAATACTGATACATTCCATCACTTAAAATAAAACTTGATGAGTAACTGATTTTTCTTCTTTTACTTTATACAGTCCAGGACTTCAAGTAAAACCAAATCATGATGCTCACAAATAGCACCATTGCTTGCTTTGTGCATGCAGTCTTCTGAAAAAAAGAGGAAGTTATTTTTGTTCAGCCTGTGAGGACTGGATGCAGTCTTATCTAGGAGTGGTTAACCATACTGCCTGTGCTCCACTGCCTGTGGAGGGAGGGATAGCTAGAGGGGAACAGGAAGGGAATTGGTCTCTCTGCAACATCTTTGCATGTCTACCCTCTTCTTCTGAAAGAGAGATTCTGTTGGTTTCTTTCTAGGGAGAAAAAAACAACCAAGCAAGCAGCATCCTCTATTGTAGGTCCTTGTGTTCACTTAGCAATGGCTGACAGGCACAACCAGCGGGGTGCACTCTGCTCTCTTGTCTATCCCAACAGCAAGGACCAACTGGAAGCCTTTTACCACTGAATTTTGGGACTGTGAGCTCTTAATGAACTTCAGCTCAGTTTTTGTGAAGAAAACCTTTGGTTTCTTGTGTGCATATTTACTCCTAGAAAACTTATTTAGTGGAGTTATTTTCCTCAGAGGGATGGCTTGCCAGGGAAATACAGCAGGGATTCCCCTGTTAGCATGTGAGTGTTCACTAAAGTGTCTCAAAAGCTTTAGTTTACTCCCCTGTTCTGCCCCTAGCAAGCATGGGGAGAAAGCAATTGCTTTTCAGACTCAAGGTACTTCCTAGATTTAAATCAATGTTTTCCCTGGTCTGTGAGAATTTTACCTTGGGCCAGTAACTGCTCCAGAAGTGTCATCACTAAAAAGTTATTTCTATAGAAATAAAATCTTCCCTTCCTGCCCTGTTCCAGTTAATTGTCTTTGGCTGCCTGTTTCTAAGGAATTAACCTCCAACAATCAGGTGGTTAGTGGTGATAATGCAGAAGCCAGATGACCTATTAAGAGGAGAAAATTTTGGTAGTTTTGTTTTTCTTTTACATCATGAAATGAAAGAAACATCAAGATGCTTTGTCCTATCTGATCTGGACGCTGTCTTTTTAACCTTTATAAATATTCATAGAAGTCCAACTAGCAACAAATGAAAATATAGCTCTGGTATCATAACTCTGCTCTTGGTCTAGTTTTGAATTATGCAGCGTGTTAAAGTGTAAGTTTAGATAACTTCTACAACATCCTGGTAGGGGCGTTGTGCTGGTGGTTCTTCCTGTGGTGTTTTCCCACTGTAAGGATGATGCAGTTCAGGACCCAGCTTTCAGCTGGGAGATGCAAGAGTCAGATACCATGTAATAAATTGTCCTGAAGTCCAACAAATGGGCTGCAAATCAACACATTGTCAAGTGCTTTCCTGTTAGAGATGATAGTCAACTGTTTTGTGGTTACTGTAAGACTTACCATTCTTCTTTGTGTCTGGCACTTGCCACACAGCTAACTGGTCCTCAATCTTCGTTTTCATCTGAACATGATTTTGCCATAACTTTGAAAATGAGTTTAGGCAACTGTGTCTACTGGCTCCAGAAGAGACCCTGATGCCATAGGGTTGTGGAGGAGTACATACGTCCTTTTCTCTGGCTCAGGATGAGGACGGGCCAGGGTGCTATAGAGCAGCACTAATTCTAGATGTGACTATTTCTCTTCTCATTTTCATGAATGCCTATAAACACACTTGAAAGCACCTCAGCAGACTGAGCATCAGCAGTGAGGAAGGGTGAAGAAAACTGGGTGAATGGAGTTCATGATGTTTAGTACCTTGCAAAACTGTTATGCTCAGTCACAGATATTTTTCAAACCAGAGTGTTGGAAGTGTCTTACCAAAACTTGTGTGAGACCACTGAAATGAATTCACTTGTGCATGAAGCTACCCTCCTGGCCAGATTTTCTAGAGAGAAAGAGAAAAGATGAGAAGATCAGGTTGTCAATACAACCTAACTAGGCTTCATCTGAGTGAATGCTTTCAATCTCAGCTAAGCTTTTCATTGTGCAGTAGCAAAGCCTCTTGCACAATGAAAAGAGATCTCATTTTGTCCTCTAAATTTGTTTATGTGAAACCTCTTGTGCTCCCCTGGCAGACCTGAGCACCATGATTTGTTACAGCCCAGCCAGCTACAGTGGTTTGGTGTGGCAGTCCGAGTACACATGCATTTGTAAGGCTTTGTCTTCACTTATCCCACACGCTTCATCTGTTCCCTGAGAAACATAAAACCCTGAGCTGACCTACTGTCCAACGGGATTGCATTGTGCCTTGAAATTTTCCAAATAAGCTGCTCAGGTCTTCTCTAGCTGTGTTTTCCATGTTGTATCCAGTGATGCAGGAACTGATTGGAGAGGGAGCACTGGGATTGGGGATCTTCTTTTTGTTTATTCCAGTTAGATATAGTTTCCTTTGCAAGTTCTGCAGGCAGTGGCATCCTGTTGCATCAATGTTGTCCTTCAGGTCAGGAGTGTTTACAGTATCGACAGCTGCACTGTTAGGCAGGAAGGGAAGCTTCCTTTTATGTGGGTATTCCTGATTTTTGTGTGGCTGCTGGTGCTGGGCTGAGGTTTTTTTTCTTTTACCCTTGTGGTATAATATTCACTCAGAAAGGGGAAACATCTTGAATACAGGACGTTGTGTTTCATGGGTGTTGAGCGCAATGTGCTTTCAGGTTTGCCCTTGCCAGCAGGCCTGGCAATGACTGCCCCCTCAGAACCTCTTTCCTCTGCCTGTGTTGCCCACATTACTACTGCTTGTGAGCTTGAATTGCAAGAGCACTCAAAGGCCACTGTGAACTCCAGCTCTGTTGAGCTAAGAGGTGCTGCTTGCAGCTGTGGTAAACTGCAGGCAGCACCAAAGGCGGGGTGTGCAGCTTGGAACTGGGATGTAAAGAGGCAGTGCTGTGTATTCACTCAGATGATGACAGCTGCCCACTCACTATCCTTCACTATAGCTCACTTAAAATGAAAGGGGCATGTGTAAAGGATAATGAGATCATAAACCCTAAAGTTTGCAAATGGAGTCTTCTCTACGTTTTCTCCTCTGCTGCTTTAAAACAGGTGGGCTGACACCTTGAATATGGGCAGAAGGGGTACTGCTGTCTGAAAGGAGAAGACTGGAAGGAACTAAAGAAAAGAGGGCTTGAAATGAGAATTTTTTCATAGCAGAGACAAAAGGGAGTGACTTCACATAGCCAAGCAGAAAGTCTTAATGTTTAGACATGCCCTAGCACATGGCTTGAAGGAGGAGGTAGAGTTGGAGTTAAGCATAAGTTTGGGTAGCAGGTAGTGTTTCTTTGTGAGAAACATTATATCTGGAGAACTGCTCGTGTAGCTGTGCTGAGTTCCACCTGACATCTGAGCACACAAGGACATGTGAGGTCAAGTCACTGCTTTTAAGAAGTATCAAACACAAACCGAAATACAGACTTGACAGTCATCAGAATAAAGTTTATCACACTGTAGTGCCTAAAATACCAGTTTCTTACTCAGATAGAGTGGTGAATAACTTATGCCAGTGAGTTCTGTTTCATTGGCAGACAATAACTTTTACTTCGTAAGACCTGTATTCAGTTCTAAATTCTAGAAGCAGCATGAGGTGAGCTTTCGGATATATTTCTTTCTTTCTAAGTAGTGATTTTACTAAAGCAGCACTTTCTTTATCCTCCTTCTGCTTTTGTTTTCAGAGCAAGGCATTTCAGAGAGAGCATCAAATTTATCCATGAGTGCCGACTCACAGGTGAAGGCTGCTTAGTTCACTGGTATGTATACGGCTTGCTAAAAAATTCTTTCTAAGGGTTTCTCTACCTTGATTTGGATGTGCATAATTTTAATAAATCAGTGGTCATCTCCACTCTGTAGCAAAATCCTCTTGGACTGAATTGCTCCATTTATTCAAAAAGCCCCAGAAGATTTACAAATGCTGTTAAAGTCTTATGCGAGGATGTTTGAGTCTCTGGGATGGGCAGCTGTTTGGAGATGAAAGGAGCCCAAGAGATTCTTTTTGACCTTCTCTTATCAAACATCTTTGTGGGATTTATTTAACTAGGAATGTGTTGGCTGAAGACATGCTATTTATTTCTCATCATTTTAATTGCTGTGTTTCTAAATGTGATTTCCATAATCCTAATAATTTGATTAGTTTCTTAAACAGCTGTTTTAGTGACTTCAGAGTTGTTAAAAAAACCTGTTTGAACAGAAATTTATTTTTTCCCCTCTTCTTAAAACTGCTGAAGCATTCAAATGTTGCATTTGTTAATAGCAAGACCCTGATTGGAGAGATGCTCCTGGGACTGTAAAGAATAGAAAAGGAAATCCCACCCTGGGTTTTTGTTGCTCTCTGCTATTGGTTGTGGTCCTTTTGCTGTGTCCAAAGGACATACCTGAGTCTATATCTAGAATCAGAGTCATCTCATGATTTGAACACTGGACTTGTACACAGGCCCTGAGTATAAATCCTCACTTTTCTATTGACTCGTGACAGGCCTGTGCATGAGCCATTTGGTCAGTCTTGGTGTATAGAAAACAGGAATAAGTAGTCTGAATACTGAGTTTTAAAAAACATACATTTAAATTTGTGAAGTATTCAGAAACATAAAATGGTGAAAGAGACTGGTAACTCTTTATTTTTACTGTGGTAAATATAACTCTAACACATTCTTTATACTCTGAATAGAAATAATTCTGAGTTTGTCCAGTGTTGTCCAACCAGGCATCATGAATGATTCTTACTCTATCCCAGCTTTTCATCTGGGGAAACAGGAGTCCTGAGAGTTTAAGCTGCACAATGCAGTGGATAGCTTTCTGCTATCAGAGGATTGCTATTGAGAGCAACTCAAGCAACCAGCCATATGTACCTCTTATTTTGCCCCCATGAAATTGCAGCCTTTATTCATGATGGAGAGGAAACAGTCTTATTTCACTGCTCTGATCTTTGTAAACAGAAGAAAGAAAGGGTGACTTACTTCTGTCTTTTTAAAACCCAAATCTAACTTAGAATGTGTGCACTATCCCCTGCTTTTGTGACTACTTCATACTTTTTTCTTTCTTTTCAGCCACATAAGAGTTACCACTCAAAACCCACTTTCTTGATCAGGTAGATTTTCTTCTGCTGCATTTGAAAAAGTAGCAAGAAAACTATTTAACTCAAATACTATGATATTTCTCCCTCATGGCAAGCAGCACAGCAGTCTGTGATGTTGAGATTTAATGCTTTTAGCTGTGATAGGTGAAGCACAGCACAGCTTCAGTGTATTACACCCCCTTCTCCATGCAGCCTTGCAGGTGTCTCCAGGAGTGTCACACTGGTGGTTGCCTACATCATGACCATCACAGACTTTGGCTGGGAAGATGCACTGTCTGTTGTCCGTGCAGCAAGGTCCTGTGCCAATCCAAACATGGGCTTCCAGAGACAGCTGCAGGAGTTCGAAAAACATGATGTTGATCAGGTAAATGAACTACAAAAAAGAGCTGTGAAACACAACTCCAAGTCAGATCATGGGCTACTTCTCATTATTTTGTGGTCTGTGTGGTTTATCTGACTCCCTGTTTTTGCTTTGAGGGAATTCCCGTTTGAGGGAATGGCTTTAGCCCAGCCAGTTCCATGAAGGAGGTACAGATAGATCTGGAGGTGTCGGGGAATGCTGGGTGGGAGAAGGGATGAAGGACAGCATCTAAACACCTCCTGCCTAGCTGTGCTATCAATCTAGTGGTTGCTTCATGTGAGCTAAAACACAGTTCAAGATTAACATCTTTAGGGGGGGTAAAAGGTAAAAGGTGCATTCTCAGAACACAGGTAAAAGGCCAGCCTATAACTACCAGTTGCATAAAAGTAGTGGGTTTCCCCCCAGCACATTCATTTGGACTAGTAAGCAGGAAAGAAATCATCAGCAGGAATCTTTCATGTCCAAGAGTTAAACTAAGTCCTCATTATGGTTTGTCCATAACCCAAGTCCTCCCACCTTCTGTGGCTAAGAGTTAATATGCTTTTTGATGTTTAGGGCAGCCTCAGATCTGACCCTTTATTTTCTTATTAGCCTTTGAAGATTTTGTAGCACTGAGAGAATCAACAAAAGAGTTGGACTGACAAAGGAGTTTCATAAAACAAAAATTAGTTTCTTACTCCAAAGAAACCCCATCCTACGCAAAAGACCTGCTCCCTGTGGGTGATTGGTGACTTCCACTTACATTACCAACCTACTGTGGCTGTCCCTTCCATTTTCCATTGCTCAGCATGTTGTTGTTGTTGTTGTGTGGGCTTTTGTGCCTATTGTGGTTATTGAAAATAACAACAACAAAGGCGAACCAAAGTCGGAAAGCAAAATACACGAGACAAAGGATGTTGGTTTTTTTATCCCAACCCTGTCATTCTGCTGCAGAAAGCTCAGAGTTTAGAAATTACCATTAGTTTTGCATGATGCAGTTAGCAACTGTAAATATTTGTGTTCTTTTTTAATATTTAACTGAATGTTTCCTGGATCATTTGGAACTGGTGTAAATGGTAGAATAACTGATTTTTAAGAGACAAAAGTCAGAGAGGGACTTTCCAGACTTGTCTCCTTCCTCCCTTACAGTCATTTCTACTCTAATTGGTTTGGTCTAACAGCAATGACAATTAAGGCTGTATGCAAATAGCCTGATAAAGACAGTAACGTCTCTCTTTTTTCATCCACCATGGACTGTGCATTCTGTCTTTATTCAGTGAGGGGGAGGCAGTAGGTTGCAAAAAGAAGTATCCACCTGTATTCACTGGCTGGGCTGTAGTTTCTGACTGTCTCTTAAGAGCAACCACATCCTCAGCAGGTGTCTGTTTACACACCTGATTTTGGTGGAATGGTGCCATCTGCCAAGGGCGTGAACTTTTTCAGATTTCAGCAGCATTTGGTGTTTTGCTGTTCCACTAAAGGGTGGTGGTATCCTGTGGGCTCTCTGGAATGTTGTCCTCTAGATCTTGGTCTTGTAGAATGAGGTTTAGTCACTAAGGTCACAACATAGTTTGCACCTGTTGCAAGCTTCCATATGGTAGCCTGAGGCTTCAGATTTGCCTGAGGACTTCTTTAAGGAATAGGAGAAAGCATCTATGTTGAGGTCTTGTCTCCCAATATCCTAATAAATTATCTTTATGGATCAAGCTATTTCATGAGCCCCAAACAGAACAAAGCTATGAAGGTTAAGGTTTGGAAATTTAATATTATCCCCAGTGGGACACAACAGTTGGAGTCTGTATTTACTAGCTGCTTCTGCAGGTAAGCTCAACAAAATTGTCAGGAATTGGACAGTTCCTCAGCTGGAATTGTCCTCAGCTGGACTCAAATTCTCCAACAGGCAAAGTGTCAGAGGTGAGTGGATAGAAAAAGTGAATATGTGAAATTTCCACTCTTTCCTATGAGAAAGAGATATCTGTTGGCAGGTCCAAATCAAAGAAAAGGAGTTGGGGATTTATACAATATGCACTTATGGAGCTTGTTGGCATACAGGTATCTTGTGGTAAAAAAATACAGGTTTAAAATGAGATCTCATGACAAAGAATTAATTTGTGTTATCAAACACAAAGATACTGCTTCAGCCTCTGAAATCACCTGAGCTGAAAATTGCTGCAAACTGAGGAAATGGCCAGGGAAAAGGTTCCAGCATTATTGTCCTGCCATTGGCTGATTCTTTCCTCATAATTTATGTCTGGTTACTCTCAAAGCAGGGTACAGAGCTGGACTGACCATCAGCTGGGCCTGGTACATATGTTACCATGTACCATATTCAGTCATTCATATCAGTAACATATGGCACCCTATTCTATAGCTTATAAAACTCATTGAATATTTCTTCCTAGAAGACACCTGTTAGGATATCCACACCACATTTTTTACTACTGGTGTTTGTGGGCTCAGGATCAAAAACCTGTAAGAGTGGTTCACTTTCTGATCTTCAGCCTTCTTACTGCCTTTTGTGACTTGGGCAAGTTGGCTGATCATATTGGCTTCTATGCTAATTCCTCTTATTGTGTCTTTATACAGCAAGAACAGGGAGATTTTAAGTCTAGGATGTCCTTTCCCAGTAGGTGTTCCTTACTCTGTATTACTCCAGTCAGCCAAGCTGTTCCACAGATGTGTCATTTCAGGAGATAGAAGGGGTCTCAGTAATTGCAAATATGTGATTTAAAATCTCAGCTGTGCATTCTGTGCTGCTGTTGAAGGACATGCAATATTTGCAATGCTTTTCTTTAAACTGTATATGATCCTAAAGGTTATTGAAATTCTGTAGGACAGGAAGAAGAATTACTTCTCCATCCATTTCATGTTTAATCATTTTGTATATGTCTTTTCAATTTCTCCAGTTCAGGCAGTGGCTGAAAGAAGAATATGGGGAAAACTCTTCTCAGGATCTGCAGGAAGCCAAAAATCTTCTGAGCAAATACAAAGAGCAGGCAGAGTTGCATCAGACTACTGGAGGAAGGCAGTGGAATAACAACTTCTCATCTGTGCCATCACTCTCATACAGCAACTACACAACAGAGACCTAGTTGCAAGAGGTCGATTTTTTTTTTCTTTCTACTTTTGCAAAACATCTTGCCATGTTTTTCATCCCATCTTCAAGATTTTCAGCAGTGAACCATGCAAACTGTTGATTTATAGAAAGCTTCTTGATGACATTATGTGTGTGTGTGTATGAGTGTGTTTCACACAAGTTGGTAATTCGGGCAGGATCAAGCTGTTTATGCCCAGGGACAGGATCCAGTTACTGTGGCTGAGGCAGTTTGCCAGCCACAGCTATGTCCCCTTCTGCCCACATTGCCTGGCATTTGCTGTGAGGTTAGCTCAACTCCTCTTGTTGTAGGCTAGCAAAGGGCTTGGAGAGATGAAGTCTGGTGATTCAAGCTGTGGCAGTTTGGCATCTCTGCAGTCGTAGTGTGGCAAAGGTGTTAACTGCACCTGAAGAAGGGAACTCAAGTCTGTGTCTCTGCTGCTCCTGTTCACAGTCCATTGGCAGGAAATAGCGTGGAGGTGGGCATGAGCTGGAGTGCAGGCTGAAAGCTGGAGCAGGTGAGACGGGGCCCAAGTACCTTTCCCCAGCAGTGGCATCTAGGAGAGAAGTGGGACAGACAGCTCTGAGTAATAACACCTTCAACCGCCACAGCTGTCTTTGCTTCAGTGCCTGTGAGACTGAGCTGTCGGCAGAGCTGCCACAGACCAAGAGTGCCCAGGCTGTTACCACAGCTCAGCTGATGTGCAGTGATTTAAGCCGTGGTCCCTTGACTTTGCATCTGGTCTCCCAACATAAGCTTTTCTGGAACATAGTTGATCATGTCTCCAGAGCCACTGAACTCCATTCCCCACGGAACATGTGCCTCTTCAGCACACGCCCCTGCGCACACCATAACGCGTCTCCAAAGAGTGGGCTCGGTGTGAGTGCGAGCACCTGTTTCTTTGCTTGTGCTGTGGTTTGCTCTTTGACTTCAGCTACCTCAAAAATGCTGTTCTTGTCATTGTGGTTGTAAATGCAACCTTGAAAATTGCCTTGTGTAATCTTAATCTAACACTGAGTGAAGTAAGTGGGTGCGTGTGTGTGCGAGAGTGCGTGTGCACGTATATTTCAAAATGTCTGTATATGAGAAGTTTATTGTTTTCTTTTAAAATTGCCCATATTTCTCACTGGTTTAAAGATTGAGTTGTTGGAATTCAACTTTCCTGCCATTTAAACACCACTATATATTTTGCTGTGATCAGATTTATGGGAATGCATTTGTACAATATGTTTTAAACTAGACTGAAACTAGGGGCCGTACTCTGCTCTTGTAATGTTGTGTGTTTCTGGAATGGAGCCATTGCCTGACTCAAGTGGCTTGAAAAAGTGTCACTTCAAACATGTCAATAGGGATGCTGGGCAGTGTATTGATTTCTAATGGTGTAATATGGGGTGGCCCTGATGTCAAGATCATGATTTCTTGTCTTTGACTTGAAGGATGGAAGGCCCACTTTTCTTGAAGATTCTAGAAAATAAAAAGTACCACCCAAACAGCCAAGATAGAAAACTAAACCCAAACCCTTCATTTGTTCAAGTGTGGTGTATATCATGCTAAAAGCTGAGCACTGAGTGAGAAGCCATCAGCATACTAAGTAGTATCCAAATTGTGTCTCTTTCAATTCCTTTGGTACTCTGGCCTCCCATTCCTTCACAAGATTCCTCTACATGTGATTTCCTGCTTGCAGGTGGCAGTGTATTCTTTGGATTGGGAACAAGGCTTTTGGGCCAAGTAAACTGGCTGTTAAATATCTGTTGTTAAGTATCTTAAAAAAATATGTTATGGCTTGTGAAATACGGGTCCTGCATATCAATAATTGCCTAAAAGGAAAAAAGGGAATGGGGTGGAACTGACCTGTCCATTTCATCTGAGATCAAGCCTGCATCAGGGTTCTCATTGCACTAAGTGCTTGAAGTGTACTGAGCATGATGAGAGCAAGATAATCATGTCTTTGTTGCAGTAAGGGATGTTGCTGGATTTGGGAAAATTGCTGGAACTGACCTTGTTTTCAAGCTTGCAGTTAAATGAACCACTGCCTGTTTGGTATATCCAGCAGTTGCTCTGTGATTGCCTGGTAAGAAAGGTATTTAGCTGTTTCTGAAGATATTGATCTGCAAATAATAGTCTGGTTAACAATTCCAGCCCAGCAGTGTCCACACTGGCAGTCCCTTCTGTGCTCTGAGGGTAGATGTAATAATTGGAAAATGTTTTCCTCGGTAACAGGGTCTGACACACCTTCAGGATGTGGGTCCGTTTGTTCAACTCTCTACTCATAATAGGATATGTAGGGCAGCATCAGCCCATCCCCAGAGGGCAGCTTTGTCAGAAGTATTCTGCCTATGGTCTTGCAGGCATCCAGCCAGTCCTTCCTGTAGCTGGCTGCCAACACTGTGTATCCTATAACACTCCTGTCCTTTCAGTAGTAATGCTGTGGGTGCTGGTAAGTTGCCAGTTTTTTTACTGTTCTGACACATACAAGGCAGAATAGGAGATATCTGTTAATTTTCATGTGTCCAAGATTAACCTGCATTGCTTTTTTTTTAATTGTTTGGTTATGTCCAAAGAGTCAGTCCCCTGAACAGGATTTTTTTTGGAACTGAGTTTGGCTTTAGGGCCATATAGCAAACATCAGTGTGCGTTATGCTGCAGCTCCAAAGCAGATACAGGGTAAGCTGGGAAGACAGAGGGAATGCCACACTGTCAGTGAGTGGAAGTGCTTCTCTCTTTTTGAAAGGCAGAAAGGGTATTTTCTGCAGTGTCTGCCTTCAACATCTTCTGTAGTGGTCAGTGTGTACTGCATACTGCAGGTAAGAGCAGTATAAGAGCAACAGCAGTCTAAGACAACTTGAATCTGGTTTGTCCATGTAGAGAGCAGAACGATGGTTTATTCCCTAATTACCACAAGTGCAGAAGAGAGAGCTACAGTTCTCACCTTTAGCCTTTTAGAGAGGGAGAGGAGCTAACTCAGACTGAGAATGTGACATGATTTGTCTTCCAACCAGCCTTTCAGTGGCAATTTGTAGAACTTTCCAGCTATCTGGAGCATGACTAGACTCAATTCACCTCTTAGTAGTTGGCCTTTGTAATGTAGATGATGCATTCAGTTATTTTGTTTCTGTATTTCAAAACACTGTCCTCATTTTGATGTTCACTGGAAGATGTATAAAGTTTATAACACCTTATTGGATATCCAGATTTCAAATGTATAATCAATTTTTTTGGGGGCTAAACTTGATATCCATGTGTGATTATAAGCAAATGTCTAGTGTTTTAGAATGTAGGTAATGGATAAATGCATTAATAGTATTTATTACTCAGTTTTTTAACCTGGAAAAAGTTGCTTCCTTACATTTTGTTGTTGAATGGGAAGATATGGCAAATCATATCTGTTTTTTAAAAGGGATAATAACTTTGGTTGCTATAATGGCCACCGCCTATAAAAATGTCAGTGAAAAATTATAGCAATTATTCCACTAGTTTAAAAATTCTAAATCTGCTAAGCTTCTTGATTCTCTGTCTTCCTCTTCCTGGGCGTCTTAGTGAAGCCTTGATTACTTTTTCCAAATGTTTGTATTTAATACGTTCTACAATTTTTTTATAAATAAAATTAAATGTTAACACCTGATCTGCTTTTGTGTTTCTTGAAATCAGTGACAGTGTCCAGAAGGCTTCTACTCACTGTCTGTATCCCTGCAGGTACAGTAAGAGTACAAGGCTAACTCATTTTGGTGTTTTGATTACTATTTTCTCTCACACACAGACTTCTTGAAACTATCTCTCTTTTCACCAACTACTTCCAGGTGAGTTCAAGAATCTTCAGCACAAGCACCTCTTGATAGTCTCCCAAGAGGTTCTTGCATGTTGCTATCTTACTGATTGTTGCTGGCCCATCTTTGCAATGGGGTATGTGGTGAAGCCAATGTTTTTTATTATTTTGAAATACCTTCTTTTCCATAGCACACTGATTTAGGGCTTAATCAGCTGTAAAACTTACCTGGTTTTCAGGCTGGCAGTGTTCAAGGCTCTCAGAGGAAGCTGATGTAAGTGGCAGATGATTCTCAGGGGAAAACATTTAGAAACTTTTAATGTAAGGGAGGAAATGCCCCGTTCAAATTCCCACAGATAACTCACTGAATTTCTGGTTTGACACTACGTATGCTAAGAGAGTATTTCTGACTGTTGGGTAATTGGGAAAAAAAAAATCCAAACCTAAACCAAAAAACCCACCAACCTGAGAGTATAAAGTCAGATCATAGCCAGATCTCATGGCCACTTCAATCATTGCTGAGGGCTGATCTGTTTTTGCGGTGGGACTCCCTTGTCATGAAGGCAGAATTAGATGCTCAGGCACAGTGAGTTCTGAGTCTTCTCTTTTTCTCTCCTTCCTCTCCCAGAACTTGTTATTTTATATACTATTGGGAATATGTGGATGGTGATTCCTAAGGAATCTTGGGCATGGAACTAATCAGTAATATACTCCATTAGAATAAAATAGATGTGTCTGTAGATAGCTCTGAAAGTGATAGATGCACCTTGTTCAAATACATTTCATAATGCATAATACATCATTCATCTTCAGTGTAAATTGGATGGCTCGGATTTTATTAATATGTGTTTCAGACCTCTTCATGTCTTTCTGTGACGAGATTTTAAATTCAATACAGCCTGCTATGTGACACTTGAATTAGTAGTGTGATTACCTTCTTTCTCCCATCTGTTATCCATAGCAGTGTCTTAAATATATGTGCTACAACATCGATGAGACAGAAAACATGCTTAAAGTATAATCCCTTCTGATCTAGGGAAACCTCATAACTTTTAGAAAAAGCTTTTCCTCTGCCTAAAGGAAAACAGCAGTTTCCAAATGAAAAATGCTTTACTGCTTAATCTTCTTTTTGACCACTTAGTACTTTTCAAGGGTAATTTTTAACCAAATCACATGCAAAAATTGTGCTGGAACCGTGGTGCTGCATTGCTGTTCCTGACTGTGTTCATTCCCTCGAGTGTTACATAGAACTGTTGTGAGTTCTGGAAAGTGGCATTTTTGATCTAATTCCTGGAGTCCTGTCCTACCATGCAGTTGGCTGAGGCAAGTAGAGGGCAAACCTGCATGTCCTTAGATGTGTTTATAACCTGAAAGGGGTTTTGGCTTTGCCAGCAAATTATAGGAGTCCTTCCACCTCCTCAAGAAGATTGTATTGGCAGAGGGAAAATTATAATGGTCTGTAGAAAATATTAGCTTGAGGAAGATGATGTTGCACTGTGCAGTGTTTATGTAGATACCCCTGGAGACACAAGGCATGTGACAGATACAGCTAGTTTCATACTTTGTTCCCAGCAGAGCTTTAAATGTGGGTCTTGTTTTCCATGTGGCCCAGCTCCTGTGCTTAACTATTTCACTGATACATTTAGCTGTTCTGTCCAATATTATTATTCTGCCCTCGGCCAAGGAACAAATTCTTCTTTATATATTTGAATGTGTGCTTAGCTCTAGTGAATTATGCCAACTGCGGTTTGCCAAAACTAAGTAGCTTGTAAGTAGCTACAGGTCCCTTCTTGTAGTCACTACAGGTAACTTCCTCTAGTTTTCCATGTAGTTTCTAGTGTAAATATTAGGAGTGGGCATTAATGAAGTGTGAGCAAGAGGTGTCCTTTTGCCATTGAGCTCAGTCCTGAGACTGAGCTGTTGTGGGAGACTTGGTTCTGCTCATGTGAGCCAAACACATCTGCAGTGAACTGGGACTAAAACTCTCTTGCAAGCAGCCTCAAAAAGTGGGATTTTCAGCCAGACCTGAGCCCAGTTTCCATTTTAGATGAGACAATTATGAATGTGCAGGTTTGTATCCTCCATTATTTATCGAACTATGAGCAGAGAGATCAGAACCAAGACATTGAAGCTACTTGAAGTGTGAAGTGTTCTTAGGTTGTTTGCTTGATAGATCATTATTCATACAGGCATTGGCAATGCAGTGTTAGACCTGGGAGGAGACATTTACAAATGCAGCCTTTGAAAGCTTGAGTTCTGATTCTCCTTTTTCCCTTCTTTCTCTGGAAGCAAGTGAGTTTTTATTTAATTTGTCAGTGGATAATACAGCGAATGGGATTTTTGTTGCAATTTATTGCATTTCGTCTCCTCCTTTCATCCTTTTACCTTTGTTTTCTGTATGTGGGTTTGTTTGGGTTTTTTGTTGGGGTTTTTTTTGGTTTTTTGTTTTGTTTTTTTAATAACTGGTATTTAGCCCAGACTTCTTGAGTCAGGCAAATGTCAGTGTGTGGCTTGCAAACAATTTGTTTCCTGTGAGTATGTATTTATATTAATAAATACTCTTGTTATAAGGTTGCTGATTTACTTAATTGTATTAACAAGTACACTTTGGCTGTCCCTGTATCTTCCCTGTTATGGTTGGGGTGGCTTTCTCCGAAGCTTGATGTGCCTTTTGTTGGATGTTGTCATTTTCTGTGGCCTTCTGGCTCTTGTACAGCACTGGATGCTTTGGATAAGTAACTCTGATCTGTGACAGTGTTGAGCCTGTCATTGAAAACATGCTAAAGGGATATTTTATTTCTGATTTGTATGCTAAAAAGCAATATTCATCCTGTGCAGGCTACTACTGATTGCAAACATTTTACTTGATCCTCTCCCTTATGTTTTCAGGCAAGATGGGACTTTGTTGAAAGTTTTTAAGTAGGGAAAACTGTCCAGTGTTTAGAGGAAGTATATGTTGAATTACAGCTGTGTATATGCATACTCATTCTGTATTTTTCCAAGGATTGCATTTTGGAAGTCTTTACAAGTTAAGTCTGTAACATGTGACTTTCCCAGCAAAACAGCTTATGAAATCCCTCAGTGTCTCAAAAGAAGGAAAGAAAAGATAAAAACAAACAAAAAAGAGGAAAAAAAAATATTTTTTTTTCACATATTTCTTGGAGGCTGTGCAAGTGTACTTCTGTTACTTCTCTGTTATCAGCTGGATAAGGCTGTATGAAATCAACCATCAGTAATAAGTCTAGAGGATGAATGGGACAAGGGATAACCACCAGTCGGTATGAATGTAATACAATAATTCATTGGTATTGATAACTCTAGACTCTGCTGTCACTGAAAGTCTTAGACACCTTACAGTATTTTCTTTTCTTTTAGAGTTGACCTTCATTTCCCTGGGTTGGTCACCATACATCAATGTTTCCCTTGGGAGATCTCACATATTTCTAGCTGGGCTTCTGTCCCTTAGAATTATACCTCCCTGATAATGCACAAATTGCATAAATGGCATAGAAAGGGTGGCAAGAGCACCAGTGTTGCAGTAAGAGAGACCATGAGTTTTCATAATCCTTTTTAAAACAAAGGACTTGTGGTTTTGACTTACCAAGAAGGCATACTGAGTCTGTCACCTTTGTCCAATCCATAAAATCCTGGACTGAGCAGCATTTGGGATTCTGTTACTAAATCTCCTACCATTTGCTGTGTGATTATGCAAGTTGTTTCAGTCTGGTTTGCTTCATTTTCCCAGCAAAATGGGGAAGCAGCTACAACTTTCCCTGGCACAACTTTGATACGCCTCTGATGAAAAGCACTTCATCAATGTTGGTTGTGTATTGTCAAATGGGGTATCTGCCCTCCATCTCAGGGGTGTTAAAATATGTTTGTAACAGAGAGATCCTGAAGCAGGGCAAGGAGCTGTGGGGCTGTTAACCCCTTCATCCCACCTGCACATGAAGGTGCACAGGATGGTGGTTGGATGTAGATGGGAGAAAATTTAAGATCTTATTCCCTCAGGAACCATTTGCTCTATTTCAACATAAACAATAAAGCGCATCTGTCATAATTTCTATATGAGAAAAAAGCAGGGTGAAGAGAAAGAGGCCCAGAGCAATTCTGGTTGTGACTGTATCCCTCTGGTGCATTGGTTGGACATAAAATTGCAGGTAAAAATTAAATGGTTGGGATATGTAATGTGCTTGTGATTTCAAGAATGATGGGGAGAGCAGCAGGTGGTGGGCAAAGGAGGAATAGCATATGGCAAAAAATTAAAGCATTGGAATAGCTAAGGGTAATGTGGTTAGACTCCTTAGGCATGTCCTGATACCTTCCATTTACTCCAGGAAAATGTCTGCAAGCTAAAAAAAAAAAAAAGGGATTCTCCACAGTACTTTGGATATATGGCTGTGGTGATAGAAAAAAAAGTGTCCTGATTTTCTTGTTCTGGAAAGAATGTGCATATGGTGAATGCATCTAATAAAGACTGTGCTGGCAGATGAGAACTGGAGGAAGAACAAAATCAGTGTCTCCCTGGCCAAGCTGCTGCTACTACTTTTGGACTGCTTCATGGAAGACATGAATTTGATTCATTTCCAAAGACAGCTTGGAAACTCCAGGCAGCAGAGGAAGGGACTCCCCATTGACTTAGCTGTTTTTCTCTGAATGCATTGCACTCTGTGAAATACCATCAGTGCCACCTCTCAGGTAATTTCTGAGGGAAGGTCAGTGTGTAGGGACTCAGACTGAGTGGTCAGGGAGCCTCAGTGGCTTGAAACACATTGAATTTCATGCAGGAAACTTGCAGCTTGCAGTGCCTGCTGTGGGCACCTCAGTAAAAAAAGAAAACCTTAAATTTCCAGCTGGAG